TTAGGTGGAGTAAAAGCAGGTATTTCAAGAATTGGATCACTGATAAGGAAACATTTGAGCCCCAGCAAGAGGCTAGTGAAGGTAAGAAACCATTAGGCTGAAGAACGGCCCCACCCAAGGCATCCACATCCTCATCCTTGGAGCCTGTGTGATGTTATATAGCACAAAAGGGTCTTTGCAGAACTGATGGAAGTAAAGGCTCTCGGAATGGGGAGATGATCCTGAATGATCGCGTGAGCCTTAAATGCAGCCCCATGTCTCCCTCTGAGAGGGGGGTAGAGGGAGGTTGGCGCACACAGAAGAGCAGGTAGCGTGAAGGTGTGAAGGTGGAGCAGAGAGATATGGAAGATGCCGGTCTTAAAGGTTGGAGTCCGGTGGCCAGAGGCCAAAGCCTGCAGACAGCTGCCCACGGCTGGAAGGGATGGAGGGCTGCCCCTCTGGGCGGAGCACAGCTTTGCCGACACCTTGATTTCAGCTCGGAGGAACTGTTTGGAGTTCCTGCCGCCGAACTGCGTGAGAGAGTTTCTGCTGATTTAAACCACTGAGTCTGTGGTAATGTGTCACCGCAGCCACGAGAAACTACCAGAAACTACGTTACATTGTATCACGTCAGCGGGGGGAGGGGCCTGGACGGCTTCTCTCTCCCCCTGGAGGGGCCTCTTCTGTGGCGAGCAGCCTTGACCGGAGCAGGCCAGAGGGCCAAGCAGAACACACTCCACAGTCTCAATAGGTGAAGGACCCCAACTTGCAGCAAGTCAGTTCAGTGACGGGTAAAGATAAAATCTGATTTGTGTCTAGATGGATCTGTTGTTCACCATACTGAAAACTTGAATGTGTGTACTTTTATCAGGTGACAACTAGGAAATGTGGTTTACATCCTGAAGCATTTGATGGAGAAAGAGAAGGACTTTACTTGCATTTTAAGTAGGGAGTTTCTTCAGTACCACACTGATAAAGTGTTCAGTCATGTCCTTTAAAACACATAAGGATGCGGAGTGTAAAAGGGAAGAGAGGTCACCCTCCCAAGATTGTACAGGTGAGCAGGTGAGCCATTCTGCTCCTGGGCTGCAAAGAGACTTGGGGCGTCAATACCGTGAGACCTTTGAACGGGCCCCGCCAGGGTTCAGGTCATGTTCAGAGTAGGAGGGTGCCGTCTTGTTTCATTTGCCCACAATTTAGAGGCGGTGCAGCAGTGGATCAGCAAAGGCTGAGTCAGTACCAAAACCCTTCTGGAGGAAAGCTCCCGTTGGTGGCTTAGGGTAAATCAAATGAATACCGCCACTTGAAAGAACGGCATTTCCCAAACTTTGTGCATCAGAATCACCTGGCATGCTTTTTACAAATGCAGATTCCTGGGCCCCGTCATCAGATTCTGACATGACGGACAGGGAATATATGTCTAAGAAACACTGAGCTTGTCAAAGTCCTAACAAACAAAGTGAAACACTTAATTTTAGAATTGTTAGAAGAGACAAAAAGAACATTTTGAAATAGAAATAGAGCCTTCTGTATACCACTTGAGAGTTCTGTTCTTTACACAACCTCTATAGATTTGAGAATAGAAACTTCTGTGTCTCTGCTGTTAAAGTGAAGCCACATTTACTATTTAAATTTGCTTCCCTCGTTTGTTCCAAACCCAAGTAATCGATTGACAAGGTTTGAATTTCTGTTTAGAGACAATTTTCCCACACTGGGGGGTTTTACGTGTAATTTAAGACTTCACATTATGTAGAGGCGCCTGGGTGACTCAGTCGGTTAAGCATCTGACTCTTGATTTCGGCTCAGGTCAGGATATCAGGGTCGTGGGGTTGAGCCCCATGTTGTTGGGCTCCCCACTCAGCGGGGAGTCTGCTTCTCTCCCTCTTCCTCTCCCTCTGCTCCCCCTGCTCGACCCCTAAAAATTAATAAAATAAATAAAATCTTAAAAAAAAAGACTTCACATTATGTGTTAGTGTGTATAAGGGAAAACCAGCATTTTACTTACATTGCATGTCAGCTGGGTAAAGAGTAGTGGGGGTGGGGCATGTCATTATCTTGTTCCACCTATTTTTGTCTGTGCTTGAAATACTCCATTATAAAAATTTTGTGGTAAGTCTAACGAAGGGGAAGAAACAAATGTCCTGGGGCTGCCGAATCATCCCAGACTCGTGCAGGTGTGAAGTACAGGGGACACAGCCAACTTTCAAGCCAACGGCCTCCGTTTCTCATGCTGTCTTGCTAGTCTGGCTTTTCTTAGCACCTCTGGCAGGAGCCAGGAAAGTGTGTCAGCTCTCCCAGTAGGAAGTGGAAATGGTGCCCAGCTTTTTGAAGGCAGGACTCAGTTTGGCACTTTGGAGATCTCATCTTAAAGACAGTGTGAGAGTGTTCTGTAATACGTAAATTTTGGTTCCAGCCATTACGCTGTGCTGTGGAAAAGCAGTGGCAGTTTTTCCCAGTAGAAGGCGACACACATTAAAGCTTAGTTGTGTGGGAAGAAGGACATCAGATACAGTTAGAAGGCATCTAAAAGGCGATGTTTATCCCACGTAGGGGCTATGTCACGGTGCCAAGTAATGTGCTGAGCAAGAGTCCCAGTTGCACCAGTCAGTAATTTGGCCATGTGAAATGGCCTTTCTGTGTACATCTGGTCTCTGAAATTTCAAAATACTTGAAGAAATTTTTGTCTTTGTTCTAATATCCTCAAATCATAAAAATTCCAGTGTCTCAGTGAGCGCTGCCATTTCCCGGCAACCTCCAGGCAGGAGCCCCTGTCTGCTGACGTATTAGTGATAATAGAGGTGGGGTCCACCTGTTAGGAAAGCATGAGAACCGTTAGGGGCCCTCACAGCTGCTGTAAGGTAAGTTCTGCTACTCACCACCAGGCAGTTGTATTAGACCAAAACGCCATTGAGAAGATATCCTGAACGGTAGCCTTTATATGAAACGCCTGTAAGCGTCTACATTTTCCTGTGCATTTGAGCTCAAGTAAGATAGGGTCCAACACATTCACCTGAAAGATATTTGAGATCCAAGCCTCCTGGTGTGGGGTCTGTGAGTGTCTCACCAAGGGCTTCAGAAGCCCTTATAGAAGCCCTGGGAGCGTTCATCTTCTCATACCCTGGCATGGCGTTAGAATTCGTCCCTGCCGTCTACCGCTTTACTTCTCCCGCCTCGGAAGAAAGTGGTGTGATCTGGAAGGATTTAGAACTGTCACAATTGTGACAGATTAATAAATAATGGGCAGCACTTCACAAGTGATTCTGGGCCAAAAGAAGTTGGAAGGTTCTGAAGTTTCATTCTGAAATCTTAGTGGAGCAAAGTTGCCGGCAAAGCACCGTATTTTAAAATTATATTTAAAGCAAGATCAGAAGACATTCTCCAGGCTGATTTAGTGTCTAGTTAAATACCAGCGTCTTTTATGTACTTGCACTTCATTTTTCATTGCTTTCTGCAAGATGTGAGGAATTAGAATGAGCACTATCTTTTGTAGACATTCAGACTAGATTTTTTTTTTTAAGAAAAAGTCCTATTTCAACATCCTTCTGACTTTCTCCCCTCTAAGACATAGCGTGATGATATTTGAAAAGTAAGCCATTGGAATAAGTGAAACATTTGGTGGGCATGTGTTTGTTTAAGTCAGGCCTGTGTATTCGGGTGAGAAAATTCCATTGGTTATTTCCCCAATTTGATTTTCTCCAAATTTAGTTTTTAAAAATGCCCATAGAGGGGCAACTGGGTGGGTCAGTCGTTAAGCATCTGCCTTAGGCTCAGGTCATGATCCCGGGGTCCTGGGATTGAGCCCCGCATCGGGCTCCCTGCTTGGCAGGAGGCCTGCTTCTCCCTCTCCCACTCCCCCTGCTTGTGTTCCCTCTCTCTCTCTGTTGAATAAATAAAATCTTAAAAAAAAATAAAAATGCCCATAGATGATGATGGTGATAATGATGATGATTAAAAACGAACTGGGGCACATTTTCTTTTAAAAGCCGTAAACCTCACACCCATATATCTTCTTAAGAGTTCTTATCCCGAATATTGTATTATAGTTGAAAAGAGAAGTTTCAGTTTTCTTTTTTTTAAAGATTTTATTTATGTATTTGTCAGAGAGAGTGAGCGCAAGGACAGGCAGAGGGAGAAGCAGGCTCCCCGCTGAGTAAGGAGCCCAGTGTGGGGCTTGGTCCCAGGACCCCGGGATCATGAGCCGAAGGAAGACACTGAACCGACTGAGCCACCCAGGTGCCCCAAGAAGTTTCAATCTCTTTTTTTTTTTTTCTTCTTTTTTTTTTAAGATTTTATTTATTTATCTGACAGACACAGCGAGAGAGGGAACACAAGCAGGGGGAGTGGGAGAGGGAGAAGCAGGCTTCCCGCGGAGCAGGGAGCCCAATGCGGGGCTCGATCCCAGGACCCTGGGATCATGACCTGAGCCGAAGGCAGACACTTAATGACTGAGCCACCCGGGCGCCCAAGTTTCAATTTCTAATGCAAAGGTTAAACGTGGACTGGAAGACAGTTTTGGCCAAAATTCTATCTTGGTTCTTGAGGTCTTCTTCCTAAACATTTCATTTAACACAACGTTAAAAGCTTTAAACACAATGACTGTTGGTTCTTCAGTACACTTTTCCACATTGCTCCTTAACCTGTCTCCCCATTGCTCCCCTGAAACCAACTCCTAACCTGACTTAGACCAACTGCCCAAGATGCCCAAGATCATGATTACAGGGCATAAAGTCGATTCTTCAGCCTGACGGCCAGACTTCTGGGCCATTTTAGCCTTTTTTGTTGTCCTACAAATTCTGAATGTGCTGTGTGTACAGCAGAATCTTGGCCAGGTATCTCACACGTTTTTAAAATGTTCTCCAAATGATAGAAATGGCTCTGTAGGGAAGCCAAAGTGTTTATACAGTTTCTCTTAGAGAAATAAAATTCTTTATCCTAGATCAGATGTCCAGTTTGCACAAGATGATTGCTGAGAAGGTTATAGGCGGCGTCTCTGTTAAAAAGCATTGCTTTCTGTTAATTAGAGACGTGCAAGCAAGCCAGCGCTCCATAGCCTTGATTGCAGAAATGATCCACACTGCTAGTCTGGTGCACGATGACGTCATTGACGACGCGAGTTCTCGGCGAGGAAAACACACGGTTAATAAGATCTGGGGTGAACAGAAGGTATGGTGTTTTTGTTTCCTTTTCATCTTAGCCATTCACACGCTCTTCGGATTGCATTTACTTTTCAGATTTGTCTCATTAAAAAGTAAAATGTGCTTCCTCAGATGCGGCCTTCCAACTTCCAAAATAGTATTCACGTCTGTGTACATACATGTGATAATAGAGGAAACCACAGAAAAATAAGCTTCGTATTTCTGGTTATTCACAGTTTTATATAGAATTCCTTTTGGTTATAGGGAGAGGGATTTTTGTTACCCAAAAAGCATATTTTTGTAAGGAACCATACATTTTACTTTGGGGCTCAGATTACTCAGGTTCAGTTTAATTCTTTAACCGTTTATTGACTGCCATGTGCAAGAGTATCATGGCAAGGAAACAAGTGAAGCTAAGACATATGTGTGTGTATCTTAAATATAGATACGTAAAAAAAAATATACACACGCATATACAGTGAAAATTATACATTTTTAAATACAGGCTCTATAATTGGGTTTGGTTCATACTTGTGTATTTTAAAGCATATTTCCCCAGTATTTTATTAGCATCTCTTGAAGGGGAAATGGATTTTGCCTAAAGATATTTAAATCATGGGATTTAAAGCCGCGGGAACGGCACTGAGCGAATGAGCAGGAAGACATGCAGGCCTTTTGTTCGGAGGCCTCTTTCAGCCTGAGACTGGTCTGCCGGGGCACCCCACCTGCCAGCCTCCTCCTGCCCCCGCCCCCACCCCCGCCTCTCAATGGGAAGTACTTGTGTTTCCAATAAAAATCCATTCACACACTTACCTCCTCCAGGAGCCCTCGGTACCTTGCCCGGGTTCCAGCCCCGTCTGGTGGCTTCATCTTCATACGCTGGAACCTTTTGGCCTCTGGGATCCCTGGGGCCAGGAGAGGAAAGACACAAAGGCCTAGAGATCCAGAGCCCTAGTGATGGAGGGGTGCTCATGATGGAGGGGTGCTCATGATGGAGGGGTAGATGAGGGATCCATATATATCATCATGGGTACAATGACTCTATAAATGTTTATTTATGTTTATGTCGAGATAATTTGTATAATATGTTATATAAAATGCTTAATAGGTAAACATACTGAACACTAATTTTAGATACTAGTGAAAAGACAAAGTTAAAATGTGATGTTGAAAACTATGAATTATAATTTCTATGGAATCTAGCATTTATAATTTATAATTATACTACTAATAATAAAACTCAAGCATGTCTTTATGCAAATGGGTATGATTACAGGGTATAGTTCAGTTATATATAATTTATAACAAGCTGTAAGTACAGTATGGGCATCTACTCCCAATCTAAAGAAGATTGGAAAAATATTATCTAGTGTTCACTACAGAAAATTTTGTCTAGGAACGAGGGGCAGGGTGTACAGCACAAAGAACACTGAACTTGGAGCCAGGATGCCGAGGTTTGCTTTTCACTGAGAAAAGCACGCGTTGTGCCAGGTGCTGGGCTGTGCCGAGCGCCAGCCGAGATGACCCCCGGCCCGTGCCGTCAGGGAGTTCGGTGAAGAGGGCATCAGTGGGTGACGACAACAGCATGCCCGGGGTGCCGCGCACAGCGCACAGAGGAGAGGCATCTGCAGACTGAGGGATCCCGGTGGACTTCCTGGAAGTGTCACCCGAGCTAACTGTGCAGCCATGTCTGCCCAGCGAAGAAGGGGAAGGACTTTCTGAGTAAGAGAGACAGTGAGTGCAGAGGCACAACCGCATGGCTTAAGGCAAGCGCGAGTGTTCCAGCACGTCCGACCCAGGGGCTGCTGGACTCTGGCGGGTTCAGGCATGAAGTGAGAGTGTGCGATGCCGTCATTCTCCAGGCCTTCACTTGCCCTGCTCTGAACCGGGGGGAAAGATGGGTAATCTCTGGGAACCGATCCAGTGCCAGTGATGTTCCGAATCTGTAACTGATTATTGCACGGACTCCTGCTGAGGACGAGGCGGGGGGGAAGACTTGGGGCCAAGATGACCCCTCGCTCCCATCCCGAATGTCTCCTCTGAGGAGCCAGCTCCACTGTGGGCTCCACTGCGCTGATGCTTTTCTCCAAAAGTTTCTTTTCTTCTTTTCTAGGCTGTTCTTGCTGGTGATTTAATTCTTTCTGCAGCATCTATAGCTCTGGCACGAATTGGAAATACAACTGTGATATCTATTTTAACCCAAGTTATTGAAGATTTGGTGCGCGGTAGGTTAATTCTGACTTTTCTTCTTTTTTATTCAGTCCCCGTCTAACTAGCCAGGCAATCAAGCCATATCGCAAATGACCCCTTTCTTTCTTTCTAGGTGAATTTCTTCAGCTAGGGTCAAAAGAAAATGAGAACGAAAGATTTGCACACTACCTTGAGAAGACCTTCAAGAAGACTGCCAGTCTGATAGCCAACAGTTGTAAAGCAGTATGTACGTTCTGTCTTTGTTCAAGTTAAAAAAAAAAAAAAAAAAGCCTCATAGCTCTTTCTTGGGAACTACTGTTCCTGGGGAACATTTCACTGGAGAACCTTAAAATAGTAACCAAAATCCCATGAGGTCATTGAGAAAAGAATGACATCCCCAAACAATGGACAGCTTCTGCCATGGGGTCCATTTTTGCGGTCTTCTGTTGCTAGGCGGACATTCACTTTTCATCTTTCCTCCCAAGAGCAGAATCAGAATAAGCCCTCTGCACTGGGTCTGATCTCCAAACTGTGTGATGTTTGCAACAACTTCTCATAAATAATTTCTTTCACGATTGTTGTCCCATATGCCATTTCTGACATTTTACCCTGAAAAAGTGGCAAAGTGCTGTGTTCTTAAATTCACTGTTTGCCCAGGAGAAAATGCCGATTAGGGTGTCCTAGTGTCCTTTCTTATGAGTAGTAGATGCTCCCGGTCTTTTTACATGATACATAAACGAGCCATTTTTCAGGGCACCCAGGTGGCTCAGTGGGTTAAGCGTCCAACTCTTGATCTCAGCTAAGGGTCATGAGTTCAAGCCCCAAAAGAAAAAAAAAAAAACAAAACCCAAGCCATTTTTCTTCAGATATAAATCAAGTGTGAACCGTAACTTTTTCTCTCCCTGGCCTTCCCTCCGCTCTTCTTTTTTTTAAAAGTCTGTATTCTCCTGAGTCTGTAGACTACAACATGTGGTATTCAGTGCTAGCCCCTAAACGAGAGCCGGTTCTCTCCATAGCATTGCTCATCTGACCGGCTGTCAGCCTAACCAACGTGGCAGAGACGAGTCCTGGGCAAGCACTAGCTCCTTGCGATCAAAGCAGCGACAGCGGGAGCCCTCCAGGGGCAGATGTACATTGCCCTCATGCGCTCTTAATATTCCTGCAGTTAAAGAGAGCTTTTCCTCGGGCCTCTCCGGTGAGAAAGGCCCCTTGCCAATAGTGTGTCAGTTCTGAAAAGTGTCAAGAAATGGATAATTGTGAGTCATAAAAGGATGAGGACATTTTCTTTCTAAAAAGACGTAATGGAAACTCTAAGAAATGTGAATTATGTGGAACGTGCTGGCCATGATTTCAGCCATTTTTGTCTTTATTGAAAGGGCCGATATTTTATTTCCAAGGAATTCCAGGTGCGGTTTTTTAAAATAGAGAGATGGATGAAAATATGGTAGACACTAGAATGCTGAATAAAAGAATGGCTGATTTTAAAAGGGGGTGCCATAAAGCTGTCACAGGAACCCTTCGTCGACCATCATACCTCTGATGGTCAAAACATCCATGAAGATGGAGCGCCAGTCTCATATGGCACGCTCGGGCGCTCGGTGGAGCTCACAGATGGTCTCACAAGCTGCAGATGGCAGTGGGAAGCACTGCAGGCTGGTGGGGCTGTTGGAACTGGACACGCTGAGAGTCGTTCACACACAGTGGACATCCCGTAGGCACAGGGCCGCAGTGCCCCATGAGGACCAGGCAGGTGCTAATGCCCACAGTGATCAAACCCTACAAAGGGCCAAGGAGAAGGACCCGAGGCACCAAGGAACGCCTGGATTGTGGTCCCTCTCCTCTCTGTTTGGGAAGCCAGATTTGTTCCATTACAGCACACGTACTCATTTATAAATTGCACCTCGTTCTTCACAGATTAGCAAGGCACCAGTAGACATGTATATTAACACGGCTCAGCCCTTTTTAAAAACGAAATGCTTTATGCTATCCACTAGGAGGCATGCTGGCATCATCCCACAACGACCCACTTTCTCTGTGATTTATTCCTAAACCCCAGAACTGGTAGAATAATAAAGCAAAATCATAGTGTGAGCGTTCTAAATAAAAGATTCTATATTTAAGTGCCTATGGGTAGAAATATTCCAGAGGTGTTACATATTCAACATGGCTATTTTTATACTCCTGGTATTCAAAATGCAAAGACATGTGGGGCTCCAAAAGTTCATGCAACGCAAACTAGAAGTGCCAAAAAGAGGGAATACAGAGAATTTAAACATCAGAATTATTACGGAATAACTAATCAGAATTTAAGATGTCATAGGAACTTGAAGGATATTGAGCAGCTTATAATTTACTCTGTTAAAGACACCACCACCACCCCCTTAACCACTCCTTGGATTTTTAGTAGAAATAGTATAAAATCTAAGCGAGGGCTATCTAGGATTGTTTTAGGACAGTGGCTGATACGAAAATAGTAGTAATATTTTTAAATGAGTGTTATTTATTTGTATACATAGGCAGAATACATTCGAGCCTCCCAATGAAGGCCATGATTTGTTCCCCTAGAAAATCTGATGGGAATGAGATCTGAGAGGTCCAGTGCCCATCCAGTGTTAGTCAGTCAGTGGCTGAGCTGGGATTCGAACCCAGAACTGGGCATGCTAATCCTGCATTCATTTGGTTTTCTTTTTTTTTTTTTCTTTCTGAATTTCTCCTCTCTCCAGTGCTGCATAGGGCCTGGCATCAATGGGCTCTCTTCCTGTTACTTTATTTTCAAAGCCACGGTGCGCCACTACAGGATTTTGTTCTGTGGCTCGTATTTGCAGAACACTGACTTTTGGTACGATAGTCTTACCTAATCTGCGGATAGACCTTATTCCTATTTTGCCAACTGTCATAATACTGTCATAAGAAAGGGAGAAAAAATCTTCCAGTTCAGGATCCAATCCAGGTTCTCGTGTTGCATTTAGCAGTTGTGAATCTTTAGTCTCTCCGTCTGGAACAGTTCCCTGGTCCGTCTGGGTTCTTACGTTCCCTTAATATTTTGAAGAGCACAGGCCGGTTATGTTGTTGAGCCTCTCGAGTTGGGTTTGTCTGCTACTTCGCACACTGAGATACAGGGTATGCATTTGGGGCAGGAAAACAGAAGGGATGCCCCTTCTTGGTTCGTCGTGTCCGGGGGCACATGTCCTTTTACTGGTGATGTTCACTTTGATCACTTGATTGCGGTGGTGACTGCTCGGTTTCTTCACTTGAAAGTTACTGTTTTTCCCTATCTGGGAAAGTATTTTGAGATTATGTAAATCTGCTTCTTACCAAACTCTCCAGTTTTCGCATCTACTTACGATGCTTTCAACTTAGTACCACGATGGTGGTGAATGACGGTTGTGTGAATTCTGTCATTCCTTCTACACCACGCTTCTCCAATAGAGTAGATCTTCTATTTTAAGGACGATCTTATCTATGTGGACTCTTACATTCTTATTCTATTGCTGATAACCCTTTATGTTTATTTATTTAAATGCTGAAGTATCCTGTATTTGGCCAATGGGAAAGGCCCTTTAACCTGGCTCCTGTGTCTTGTTAATCCACCCCCTTCATTCTTTCCGCACTTTCTTAATTTCTAGCAGGAGTTGTTCCAGGCTCATCTTGCCCTTCCCAGCACTGGGATTCATAATTTCTCCAAGGAGCCCTATTCTTTCTGGTGGAGAATGGTATTTAGAAATCAAGATCCTGCCCTAGGTACCACTGGGCCCTCCCAGTGGACAGAGCTAGGAGATTTTAATATGTGTATACGTGGATATGCATCTATCTTGGTCTTTTTATATCCCATCTATGTGTGGTGTTTATTTATTTTTATAATTATATAGTTCTTTAAGATTTTATTTATTTCAGAGAGAGATGGGGGGTTGCAGAGGGAAAGGGAGAAGCATGCGGGGCTCAATCCCAGGACCCTGGAATCATGACCTGAGCTGAAGGTATACGCTTAATGACTGAGCCACCCAGGTGCCCCTCACCTGTGTGCGTTTAAAACCATGAGGTAACCACACGATTCATTATTTATTCTAGCATTCCTTCTTTCCATACAGTTGACCTTTGAACCACATGGGTTTGAATTGCACGGGTCCTTCTGTGCGGGTTGTTTTTAAATAAATAACAGTATAGCACTGTGAAAGTCCTTTCTCTTCCTTACGATTTCTCTAATAACATTTTCTTTTCTCTAGCCTTATTATAAGAATAGAGGATATAATACATATAACCACAAAATATGTGTTAATCGAATGTGTTAATCAGTGAGACTTCTGGTCAACAGGAGTCTGTTAGTAGTTAAGTTTTTGGGGAGTCAAAAGCTATACCTAGATTTTCAACTGCAGGGGAGATGGGGGCTGGTGTCAGCACCCCTGACTCCCATGGTATTCAAGGGTCAACTGTACTTGTAACTCCTTTCCCCAAGAGTAAGAAGCTTGGGTCCTATTCTCCCCAATATATTTATTTGCTCAATCCCCTAGAATATATATACCATAGGGGCTTAAAAATTGGTAACTTCCTATCTCTGTTAAAACAAAACAACCCTAGTAATTCAGTATGTGTTTATAGCTCCTTTTGTCTTTAGCCTGAGGATGATACAATCAAAGATCTGTATTCAAAAGTTATCTTTCACCCCTTTTCAGTGTGGTTACATTATTTTTTGAAATACAGGTTAGGTTTTTTTTTTTTTTTTTTTTTTACTCCATTTCAGGGCTTCCCTCCCATTCTTAGGGATTTTGTGTTTGGGGTTGGAGGCTGCTGTCGTTTCGAGTGTATGAAACCATAACAAAGCTCCGCGAGTCAGAACCGTACGGCAGGTGGCTGCCCGCCAGCCCGGCCATCCCCACTCGGCTCCGCACCCTCTGCCCCCCCCCCCGCCCCCGAGGAACCAGGCTCAGTTTCCGCTCCCTCCTTCCTGTCTTTCTCGTTACACAAATGAACGGACGCACAGGCCCGGGGGGTCCCCTTCTCTCTCACAAGGAGAAGCACGCGCTACTCCCCCCTTGGCACCTTGCTTTCTTCGGTTAGGGATATGTGAGGGAGAGCATCCCGTGCTCTGTAGCCACTCCGCGTCTTTTGCCCACCTTCTAGCGGGTGTTTGGTCCCCACCCCCCCGCAGTTTTAAACAGCTCTTTATATAGTAAGAATACGAGCTCTTGATCTGTGATTTTATGTTGCCTATGTTCTCCCCCAATATTTTCAGTTGGTTTTTGACAACCTGTTTTGATATTTGTAACGTAAGAATGGAGCTACAGTAATCTCCACTGTTTTTTTTAATAAGTAAGACACAATACATATACGTACGTCTTACATGGTGGACGCCCGCACGTCAAAGATAGAAACACCAAGTGCCAGGCGCCTGCCCGTGCGATCAGGACCGGCCGCCGCCGCCTTTCCGAGACAGGGCTCCGGAGAACGTTCCAGGAGGTGCGGCCCTTCCCCCACAAGAGGCACGACGCGACCTGGCCGTGGGCCTGCTTCCCACAGAACGGTTCCCTGAGCTCCGCCTTCTCTGCCTTAACCATTCCCTGCCCCCCCCACCCCCGTCCGGAAAGACGCGGGGCCTGTGACCTTGCTGACCGTGGAGGGACAGCTGTAGGCCGCCCGTCCGCAAGCTGGGGAAGCAGGATTCTCTGCGGCCGGTGAGGACTGGCCTTTACACCGCGGTCGCCGAGCTCGGAGCGGAAATGGCCCGTCCCCGCCCGCGAAGCTGGAGGCGCCCACGAAGAGCAGCTCCCGGCCGCGTTAGCGCGTGGGAACGAGAGGTGGCCGGTGCGCGCCGACCGCTCGGCCGTGGGCGTCCTCGGGCACGTTACTTGACCTCTTCGGGCTTCCGTGCGGCGGAGTGAAGTGACTAAGAGAACGGTCTCTGGAGTCAGACCTCTTGGGTTCAAAATCTGATTCCGCCATTCCCCAGCCCCCTGACGTCTGGTCCGCACTCTCTGGGCCTCCGGGCCTCCCGCCTCCGGGCCTCCCTCATGAGTCCGTGAACACGCGGGAAACCTCAGACCAGGGCCTGCGCCTACTGGGAGCTCAGGCATTGTTCGCTCTTGTCAGCCATCAACCGCAGAAGAAATGCCTATGGGACGTTGTGAGGTTTAACGAAGATAATGTAAAGTGCTCATCCTAGCCAGGTGCTCCACAAATTTTAATCCCGTGAGTTTAGAAATAGAATGGAGTTTTTAAATGTCTTTGACTTTTCAGGAAGGAAGCTGGCACTTCGGTGCCGTTTTGTGTTGAGGTAAGTAAGTGGACAGGAGGAGTGCCCTGGGAGTTTCCATCAAGAAAGGGGGTGTCCTCGTGTTCTGAGCTCAGCGCCTCCCCGGCTGCCCGAATCTCGTCTGCTCATTCATTCAGCCAAGTTGATGGATATCTTCTTGACTCTTGCCAAAGTTTCTAAATTGTGTCGCATGTGGTCTCCTAGGTTGGAAAGAGGACTCCCTCCCTGTAGCAGTTCTGAGTTTATTATTCACTCAAGGAAGTGGCCGCCTGACCTTTCACGACACGCACATTGTCATCTGAGGGCGTGCAGCCAAACGTGACACAGTCACAGGCCTCCTTGCGTCATCAAAAACATCCTCAGGGCTGAGCAAATAGTGGGATCTGGCTTTCAGTAGCCGCGGTGCATGGGCACTGCCCAGCTCCGGTTTGTGCGTCCAGGGGATGAGGAGGAGGATTATTAGCAATAATCGCAAACATCTAGTGTTATAACCAGATGTCAGGCACTGTGCTGAGGTTTAAAAGTAGCGTGACATGCATTCCTTACAGCAACCCTACGAGCTAAGTGCTTTGGATCCTGCATTTTACACAAGGGGAAACCGAAGCACAGAAATACCAAGTAATACACTGAGATCACGTGGTGTCGCAAGGGGCGTAAGTGCGCCCCTAGCGGCCCGACTGCAGAGCGCCCGGCCAGGGGGCTGCGGAGGCCGCGACCGAAGGCGGAAGACCCGGTTCTGCATCATCAGTGACCCACGGCAGGCAGGACACCGATGCCATCTGGCTTTCTCGTGCACTCAGTATAGACATTTCCTCTCCAGTGAAGTCGATGCCGCTCCCCCGCTCCCCCCTTTTGATTTTTACCCAGCTTTGTTTTCTAGAAATGTGGCAGGACCTGCTTAGCATGCTTAGCAGAGCAGTGGGAAATGCATTCAAGTGGCCAGTGGCGGCTAGGTTTTTTTGAGTTTTAGAAAGACTTAGAAGTCCTATTTCTCTTCAACTGAAAAGGGTGGGGGGGGGTCTTTTATGTAGCTAATTACTTCTTGCATAAGAAACAAACAGTAGGACCAGTGAAGACCCTTTCCTAATGAGAAAAGTGTCTGTGTGAAGCGCGAGCAGAGGCTGTTACAGTCATGTCAGAAAATAACTGCATTTGAGAAAAAAGTGAAATCACCAAAAATTATTAAAAGAAAGGAACTACAAGCGAAATGTATGGCAACATCGTGTGTGATTAAGCAGATGAGATATCTATTCCCCAAAAATGGCTAAATCAATAGAAAAATAAAAATAGAGCCAACATTTAGGCCAGGTTTGCTGAGTGCTAAAAGCAGCGAAAAAGAGGTCTTATCCTGGGAAAGGAGGGGTGGCAGGTAGCTTCCCTAGAATTTAAGAGAACAATCTGAGATAGAGGCTGGAACCCTTTCATTAAAAACGCAGGTATTCTGGGACGCCTGGGTGGCTCAGTCGTTAAGTGTCTGCCTTTAGCATAGGTCGTGGTCTCAGGGTCCTGGGGTAGAGCCCCACATCGGGCTCCCTGCTCAGCAGGAGGCCTGCTTCTCCCTCTGCCCCTCCCCCTGCTTGTGCTGGCTCTCTCTCTCTCTCTCTCTCTCTCTCTCTCTGTCAAATAAATAAATAAAATCTTAAAAAAAAAAAAAAAAACACCAACCCACAGGTACTCTGTGCATGTCTGGTCTCGTTCTGATGGCGGGATCTCCTGACTATGCATAATACGGCCTCACCACCTTGGCTGGCTGCCCTGCTCGTTGTCAGCAACTTACTCCAGAATTCTCTTTCTGCTTCAGGTCTCTGTCCTAGGATGCCCGGACCCAGTGGTGCATGAGATTGCCTATCAATACGGAAAAAACGTGGGCATCGCCTTTCAGGTTGGTCGTCCACTTTTTAGGAACGTGGCCCGTGGGCACAGTGGGAAGGGCAGCAGTGACGCCCGGGGTGGCCATGCTCCTGACATTCCTTTTTTCTGTTCGCTAGCTGATAGATGATGTGTTAGACTTCACCTCATGTTCTGACCAGATGGGCAAACCAACATCGGCGGACCTGAAGCTTGGATTAGCCACGGGCCCCGTCTTATTTGCTTGCCAACAGGTACGTTTTCCAAACTCCCTCTGACACGGTGCTTTGTATCTTCCGGGCACAGCTGACGGGAAGGTTCAGATAAGGAAGGCATGGGAAAGCATTTACATAAGAGACCTCAGATCTCGATTTGATCCTGGCCTCTGCGACTGAGATGTTGGGACCAGTTATTGGACTCCTAAGCTGTATCTGTGTCCTTGTCTGTGACACTGAGATTTACAGCTTTCCTCCCAAGGGCTGTAGTGAGGAGGAATGGAGATAATGTTCAAGCTGTACTTTACAGATTAAATGCTGTGTGCATTTAAGGTAGCATTATGAGGATTTCCATATATTTTTGGCACTGACAAGGTGAATGGTTTCCGCATCTTGGTTTCAGGACTGGACTTGGGGTGTGCCTCAGAGCCCCTTAAAAAGGCACAGGAAGGGACTCCGAGCATAAGAAATTCCGAGAAATTCTGCAGTTCTAGAAGTTTAATGAGACTGCTGCTCTTAGCCTTGGCCATGGCCTCAAAATGTCAAGAAGTCAGTGGAATGCACTGCTAGAACCATAATTTCTTCCTTCTCCAGATTGAGGGACTGTCCATTAAGGAAGGAAGTAAAGCTGCCTTCATATCCTCCTTTATTGTGGATGAGAGCTTAGGAACTTCAGATGCTGCAGGGTCTGTGAGGCAGACATTTCCAGAACCTGCTCTGGAGCCCCCTCCAACATCGCTTGGGGCTGGGCCAAATGTGGTTTGAAGTAAGTGGGATATTGGCTGGCATTTGGACATCTTTTTCATAGATTTTCATCTTTGTAGTATATTTAATCCAGTTAAAACTTAGCAAAGCAATAAGATGTTCGTCACCATGCCATGAAATTAAAAATTAGCCCTTTGGTCAAAAATTTTAGTAACTTTTAGTCTTTCTGAGATTTTTGCCTCTGTTCTTTCTCAGAATTTACAAAGATAAACTATGTCTTCCAAAGAACTCAAGTGATTCCATTATTGAAACCAGTGACCTTGCTTTTGATCAATTTCTGATCCAAGAAAGGAGAGCTCATCTTTTATCCATTGTCTAGCAGAGCTGTAACCCGGGTAATTCTCCTCGGAGGAGGCTGATGGCTTTGGGGGGCCAGGGGTGGGGTGGGGCTGGGCCAGGGGGCAGCAGTCAACGGAGGAACAAGGGCTCCGAACAGAGATGTTGCACTGTGGAAATATCCGTCCTCACTGTCAGGCTCTGTCCTCGCAGAATTTTGAGACAGAGGTGAGGAGAAGGCGTGCTATAAATGGGTCCTTTCTCCTATGGAGACTAACTTGCCGGCCCCCAGACTCAAGGAGAATATTTTTAAAACGTGTGCTAAGCTCTGACAAGAATTTATAAAACCCCCTTGTACACATGAAAGCATGAGCAAGGAACATTTTATTTTTTACCATTAGCCCACCTAAAAGCAGAGAACTCATGGGCCCTGTAAATGTAAAGGCATGCCCGAGGCTAGAAAGATCAGTCACCACGTGCCGTCTAGACAACTACGAACAGTAGTCGGCCTGCTCCCGAGACCCTGGTTAGCGAGTGTGAGCGAAGATGCCTTTAGTGAAGCCCTGAGGTTATCAAGGCGACTAAGGAACAGGTCTTTTCCCGAAAGAAGCTCGCAGTCTACCAAAAAGCTTGGGGTGTCGTACTTTTAGAAATCCTAGTTACAAGTAGTCGTCCTGAGCCCCGGGGACACGAACAGCTGAGTCTGTGATTGAGAATGGATGCCTCTTCTGATTGCTTCACTGTGAACGTATTTCAGAAGAAACTAATTTGCTTTCCTCTACACAAAGGAGTAGTGAATAATTCTCCCTTCAGACATAGTGGGTCAAAGTCAGGGGGGAAAATGGATCACTCCTACATATGAATTAGTGAGTAATACATAAGAGATTAAAAATGCCGGGTTAAAAAAAAAAAAGAGGCAAGGAAAGGGAACCCACAAAAGCTTACAGCACCCCATACCACAGTGCTCTGGGTGTCTCACTGGGAAATGCAGCATCACAAGGTACCCACTTACCCTCACCAGACAGCACCGTTCCCATCCGCCCATAAGGCGGCAGGAAAAGGAGTGAAAACTCGCGCAGGGCAGCCCTAGAAGAGGGAACACACAGTGAGCCTGAGCAGGAAGTGACTCTGGACAGAGCTTGTTTCCTAAGTGGACTGGCTGTTCTGTCCCGTGGCGCATAGGCAAGAGGTACTCAAGTTAAAGTTGTTTTCAAAGAAAACATCAAGTGCTTGCTTCGGCAGCACATATACTAAAAAAAGAAAACATCAAGTTTAGGCTCTACTGTGGGTTACACGGTCAAAAAAAGGGGATTCTGGGGCCAGCACTGTGTGAAAAGATTTATGGGGCCAAAAGTGATTTTCGAGTAAAACAAATTCCAAAATAACAGGAGACTGTGCAGTATCTCCATTTAATGAAAGTGCATTGTTTTCATGGTTTGCAAAGGATTCTTTCATACAGTATCTCTAATCTCACAACTCCTCTTTGTGGTAGGTATTATGCCCACTCTACAAATAAGAAAGTGATGCGCAAACTTGGCCAAAATTAGACATCTGGTAAATGGCACAGCAGACAATTAAACACCAACTCCTCTAAGACCAGTATTCCTTTCACTCCTCAATGTCTTATGGCCAGCGCGGACGTTGATGAGAGCTTGTCTGATCCCCGATCCCCGGTGGGGCTTCCCACAGAGCAGGTAACTCGAGTGCTCTGGGGCTGGCGACGCTCCAGAAGAGCCTCTGTGTCAGCCCTCCGGATCTGTCATTAACCTGCCCATTTAGCAGAGTCCTTGTAAGATGTTCGTAATCTTTTTCCATAGGTGGGTGAGTTTTGTCTACCAATTACTTAGTCTTTGAGTTTTTCCATCTGCGAACTCTTGAGTCTCGACCACAACAAGCAACTTCGGGAAACCATTTTTCCTTTTTAACACAGTTGTTGTCTTGACGGGAATTTGTTGGACCCAGCAACTTAATAGAAACTCCCTGTTTTTGGAATTCACTATTTTTGACATCTCTCCAAAGAGATGTCTGGATAACAGTTAGTACAGGGGATTTTAAGAAAAATTCTGGGATTTCTGGAGGGCTCCCAGTGATGACGGTGTCCTTCCATCTGTATGTGTACACATATTTTCTGTAAGAACAAAAACGTCATGTCAGATCTTTTAAAAGAGCATGTAAGTTGGATCTTGAGCTCTTCAGAAACAAAATAGAAGTGTTTTTTGGGTTTTTTTTTTTTCATAAGATTACATTAGTTCTCAATCCTTTAAAAGATCATTTCCTTTCTTCTGCTTCTCTTATTTGATAAGTCACCAGACCTAAATGTCATCCTTAGCGGCACTTCCAGCCACCCTCAGCAGCCCCAGCCCCCGCACCAGCTGTATGGGCTTCTGTTAGTGTGACTAGCTGGTCCCCTAGCTACCCAGGTTTTGTTTGCGTAAGCTCACTACATTTACTCATCACCTTTGTTGTTTAGTTTATGGATACATTTCACAGTTAGAATATGGTTTGTCCTACGCTTTTTTTTCCCCCTAAAGATTTATTTCAGAGAAAGAGAGAAAGCAGTGGGGGAGGGGCAGACTCCCCGCTGAGCGTGGAGCCGAACACGGAGCTCGATCCCACCACCCCAAGATCATGACCTGAGCCGAAACCAAGAGTCAGACACTCCACCGACTGAGCCACCCAGATGCCCCTGATTCGTCCTACTCTTGAAAGGCCTCCCTGTAGGCCCTCCAACTAAAACAGCCTGGACAAACAAAAGTTTCCTTATTTCTCACGAAGCCTGCAAGCAGGCAACTGTTGTTCCTGTCACGCTTCTCATTTCTCCTCCACGTACACAGTTAAGGGGCCGGGGATGCCTAGGGGAACAGTTCAGTATTTGCATATTAAAACTGCACACACCACATGTTTAAAGGAAGGATGTAGCCACACTCGTTGCAAATATTTTCTTCAAACTTTGCTGTCTCGATGCTTTTTATAGTAAAAGGAGTCAGCACACACAGCACATTTTACCACCCTTGTTGGTACTGCAGAAAAAGCTCACGTACCATAAACGAGGTAATTTTACTAGATGTCCGGGACAGTGTCCTGTCAGCTCTGAGGATATGGCCTTCCAGAAGTGCAATTTTGGAATGCGGTTTTAAGACAAATGCTTACTTGATTTGGCTTTTCTACCCCTAAAATTGATTGATGTGAGCTTCCTGATGTTTCCTGTGAAACTTAAATTGTTCTATTCTTAAAGGCCAGTAACTAAAACAAATTACCGGTTTTCTTTTAAGAACTAACCATTTGCTGGCCTTTACGTTTTATAAGCATGTGAGCAGCCTCTACGTGTTTAGAACTTTGTTCCAACGCATACTTTGCTCTGAAAGGAACATTCTTAATTCTTCACCTGTCATCATCCGGCTGAGGTTTTTCTATGTGTGCCCTATTTTTTCTTCTAGGATTACTAATACCGTGGTGGTGGTTACAGGACAACAACTTCAGGCTCACTGCCAGAGAAAAGCTGGCAACTGCCGTAAGCACTGATGTGTCCAGGACCAAAGCTATCTTAACTCTTACGTCAGGGAACCAGAAGCTGCTAGAGCTCACAGGTCTCAGCTCATTTGGTTAAGCTCCCTCACGACACTGAAGGGGAGGCTAGGACGCACAGGTCATGGAGCTCACTCGACTACGGAGGCACCAGGACTAGAGCTCCGGTCTAGAAAATGAAGTGATCTGGTGTCCTGACTTCCTGGTTTTGTTAATGGTGACAATTCTCCTGAATTGTTGCTACATGTTGCAGAATATAGATTTTTATCTTCAGTGTACCTATTTTCTTTTTTTCTCTCGGTGCCACAGCTTAACTTTGGTCGTCTTTAAAATTAACTACAGTAACGTGACTGGCCTCTCTACCTCCTGTAATTCAGTGGTTCTCAAACTTGGCTGCACATTAAAAATACCGGGAGTGCTTTCAAAATCTTGATGCCCAGGCCAGACCCCACCCCAGCCAACATAATCAGAATCTTTGGGAGCAGATCCAGGCAACCATAAGCTTCCCGACTGACTCCAGCGTGCAGTCAACACAGCACTCCCTGCTCTGATCCACTTGACAAGCTGCTGAGGTAGAACTCTGCTCATAATACCCTCTGCTCAGATACCTCAGTAGCTTTCAAGTGTCACTCAGGTTAGCACTAAAAGTAGAATGCCTAATTCCCACCCTCATCCTAGGCTACTGCTTCTCAAAATGTCAGCAGAGACCAGCAGAATCCATATCATCTGGGAATCTGTTAGAAATGCATGCTGAGGCCCCAGTCCTACTGATCAAGGAAGGAGTGGCCCAACAGGCCTCTGGTGATTCTGGTGCAATCTAAAGTTTGAGAACTGTAAGAGAAGCCAACAAGGAGATTTTAGGGATGTAGTTTGTTCCTTTGCTCTTTCTCACTCAGTGTTGGACCCAAGAATAGAATAGAAAGAACACCAGAATGAACAAGGATCAACAGCTGCCTCTCCTGAGCATGAGCTCAGTCCCTGGGCATGGAAAATGGATGTCTCTCTTAGCTCTGCTTCTTTAATTGCTACAATTTATTGCCCCCACCACCATCTAAACATTTAATCACCTTTTTGTCTTTTCCTATTGTTACAAACTTAGTGTTAGAACATTTGATTTTCACAAGAGCAATAAATAAATATTTTCTTTCTTTATGGTTAGTTCCCAGAAATGAATGCTATGATAATGAGACGGTTCAGTTTGCCTGGAGATGTGGACAGAGCTCGACAATACGTATTACAGGTATGATTATTTTACAAAGAAATAAGGGAGGAGCAGGTACAACGCGTGGCAGAGTTCTTTAACCAAATAATGTAACAAATTTTAGATACAAAACCAAGTGTGGTCAATTCTTGACTTGACAAAAACTGAGAGAGAAACTTGTAACTCTTTTTTCTTCTAGAATTTTTTAAATTTTTTATTATGTTAATCACGGTACATCATTAGTTTTGGATGTAGTGTTCCCTGATTCACTGTTTGCGTATAACACCAGTGCCCCACGCAGAACGTGCCCTCTTTAATACGCATCACCAGGCGAACCCATCCCCCACCCCCGTCCCCTCTATCTTCTAGAATTCTTTCTAAAGACTAATTTAAGTGGCCTTGGGTAAGGTTTTGGACACTAGGATTTTTTTTTAAAGCTACCCAAGTGATTCTAATGTGCAGTGTGGGCTGAGTCCCCCTGGTTTGAAACCAGTCTTCCCCAAATCCACTGGCAGCATTGCTGTCCTCCAGGCACCCAGACGCACCTCCTGGTGCAGGCTCTCACTTTTGCCACCCCCAGGTTATCGGGTGCTCGCAGCTGTCACCTCAGTACTGGCCGTCCCTAGTCCCTCAAGAAAAGAACCCACAGAGGCGGACTGTTTCACCTTCAGGGGCTGTGAGCTTATTTCAGATACACTGCCACACATCCTCAGAACTTTTCTGTAGAAGCCAGATCTTTTTTACATATTTTCACTTTCGATAACTATCTTTTGAGAATGAGCTGTTTCCAAAATCCAAACCCAAAGTCGTTTGGAGCCAGTAGATCTAATGAATGAGATGGGGTGAGCAGTTTATTAGTAAGCTAATGTGTGGTCTATGGTTAATGCAGTACTTAAAAGAATTCCAAATAATTACCTTTCAGACTTCCAAAAAGCAAGACCCCCTCCAAAGGATGTATTTCCCTTAACTCTCTATATTGTTAAGCATCACCACCTCTTTGGAGGGTAGTCTGGCAGTACTAGTAAAAACTCAGTATGACAAGGGGCTGTAACTGATAAAGAGGTCAATGTACCTGGGAGACGTTCTGGTGTCAGAAATAGTATTACTGAAGGCTGAAGTGAGAAGTGGGACTGAGAAGAGGGAAAATTAACTGTTGCTCTTAACAAAACAGTGACGAAGATCCAGCAAGCCTAGGCAGAAATGCATTTAGAAAGGTACAAGAATGCTCTTAAATTCTCCAAAGACCTCTAAATCCTAGCACCCTTCACCCAGAGCTCCTTCCTAATCCCTATTCCTTTATTAAATATGAATGGATTAGGATTTACTTAGTAGGATTACTAAACGGTTGATTAAAGCTTGCTGAGTGAGACCAAGATAAACAGGAATATTCAGGGAAAAATATTAATGGGGTGGAAAAATACTGTTTCCCTATAACAAGAAAAGGATATTAAAAAAAAAAAGTACAAGCTCTAAGAAAAGTCTAAATGATTGTGAAAAACTAGATCCAAAGGAGGGTTACAACGTGAAATGAGCAAATCTTCAAAAACGTAAACAGCAAGGAAAGAAAATGAGAAAGGCTTTGAGAGGATCAAATACGATGAGGTAACAGGTGTTTCAGGAAGAGAATCCAAAAAGAAATTAAAGAGTGGTCAGGAGGCTCAGTGTACAGCAAAAACCCTGGATGCTAGGAGGCAGTAGGCAAGGCCTTCCAAATGATGAGGAAACATTTTAAACCTACAATTCTATATCCATTCAAACCATTCATTACATATGAAGGCAGAAGTCATCATCACACTTATAAAGTTGATTTCCAGTACCCATTCTCTGAGTGAGTTACCTGTGGATGGATTTCGGTAACAACATGGAAACACCACAAAAGAGAAAGCTGTGGGCACTCAAACCAGTGGAATGAACTAGAGTTTGATGGAAACCTGCTGGGGATGGCAGCTGTCTGGTAGAGCTGGAAGGCGGTCAGTCTAAGCAGCCAACAGAATGATGAAGGCAGTGGAAAGATTATGGATCAGACGGTTACATTCAAAAGTAGGCTTCTGTACACTAAGGCAGAGCAAACTAAAATGCATCCTATTTTGTGTCAATTGGTAAAGTACAAAAAAATCAGAGGCCTGGGTGGCTTCAGATGGTTGGGCGTCTGCCTTCGGCTCAGGTCATGATCCTGGGGTCCTGGGATCGAGTCCCACATTGGGCTCCTGGCTCAGCGGGGAGCCTGCTTCTCCCTCTCCCTTTCCCCCTCTCCCCAGCTCGTGCGCTCTTCCTCTGTATCTCTGTCAAATGAATAAATTAAAAAAAAAAATCTAAAAAAATAAAAAATAAAAAAAAAAAGAGGCTTTTCCGAGTGACGTTAGGAAAATTCTGTTCTGAATGACAGCGGGCTCATGAGCTTGGAACGATGGGGAAGGAAATGAAGTGACAGTACATGACTTGATTCTGTAGTAAACGTATCTTTACATCATGGAAACAGTGTTTTATTAGTGTTCAGCTTTAGAACCAACATAAAAACATGGCTCCAGAAGAGAATGCAAATCTCTATTAAAGAACACTGGTATCCTTGAGATTAAGTAGTTGGTGCTACATAATGACAAAAGTAACTAACAGAAGAACTAAAGATGGTAATAGGATTATCAAATCAGGAGGTGTAGGGGGGATGGGCTTAAATCCTCACATTTCTCAGCAGAAAGGCAATAGATAATAACTAAAGTGGCTAATTAAGACATTAAAACCAGCAGATAAAGCTGGTGTCTTTGGAAGAAGAGAACTGTTGATTTCCGTCATATGCGCTCTTTTATTATGTATATGTTCTTTTCTGAACTTTGTTTTTTACTTAAAAATTTAATACTTAAAAATAAGGGAAAGTAGGTGGCTATTTAATATTAATGAGTTAGTTGCCCTGCATGCTGATAGAATAAAAATGTGCTTCAATCTGAGAAAAAGTGCCTCAACACAGTAGGCAGAGGAAGCTGGAGTGATGAGTTGGAGAGAGAGCACTTGAGACTTAGTTTGGCTATTTATTAACCTGATCTCTATAAAAATATTTTTTGACTATCATAGCAGGAATTTAAGAGCTGATCAGTGAGTGATGTGTCTGTCCTCTCTTGTTCTGTCTCCCCCCCCCGCCCCCAAGAGTGACGGTGTCCAACAAACCACCTACCTCGCACAGCAGTACTGCCATGAAGCAGTAAGAGAGATCAGTAAACTTCGACCGTCCCCTGAAAGAGAGGCCCTCATACAGCTTTCAGAAATTGTACTCACAAGAGATAAATGACAACTCTTTCTGTTATTACTGGCAGCTATTTTACCAGACTGTGCCTAAAGAATTTTGTGAAATATATTTTGCTTCATGTGCGGATAACCAAAAATCATTTCAAAGAATCATTTCAACCTTATTGATGGGCAATTTTTTTTTATTGACAAAGTTTTTCAGAAAACTTTTTAAATGTAATTAAACTATCCGAATCTGTCACTCTAGTCCTGTAAATTCTAATCGAGGTATCTTGATGGTTATATGTGGTATTGTTTACACTGTTAAGATCCACATGTAAAGCCATTACACAAATAAATAATCAATGTTAAAATGCAAATGGTTTATCGTGTTTCACCATAGGAGTAAAGGTCACAAAAATTGTGAAGTCTACATTTCAATCCACATTAGATTTTAACAGTATCCAAAATTTCATATAGGAGAATGGTTTATTATAAAAGACTGTACATAAAATTTAGACAACAGGTTATATACAAAATTAAGAGAACATTCCACTTGGAAAAAATGAAAAAGGTAGCTAGCTGATCACTAGTGATACTGAAATCATGTTTAAAATTAACAAAGGCAAAATGCATATACAACAGTCACATTGATTTGGTAGCAATAATGGCCTTTAATTTTCAGAAATAAATGTTTTGCACTAGTCTTATCATTTTACTATGCTGTTATAAGTCTGTAACGCCCAGTACATAACTGTAATTTGAAATCCAAACAAATCCTCAATACACAGAAACCCATACTTGAGTGCTCTACTTTAATATCCTAGGCAATACAGAATTACACACAAGATAAGAAAAAAACATCCCTCCAACCTTCCCTTAAATTAAGACGAGACACACAAAGTGCATGTGTTGCATTTCAATTATTTCAAAAGACAGTATAAATCTGTTGGTCAGGTATATTCCCTGTTCACTGATTAATACATGATCCACCTTTTTTCAAATTATTTTCTTTTTAAAACCTTTTATGTTGCTAGTGCCAGGTAATGGATTAAATAGCGCCTATTCAAAAGTCAATTGCACCCACTTCTACAAAAACAACATGTAAAAGATACTTATAATTTCCTTTCATTGAACCCAGTATACAACAATCCACTGGAAAACCGAAGGACTAATATGGCAGTCCTTAAGAATTTTACTTAACAGAATGTGCACACTTTAACACATTTTCTTAGCTCTGAAAAAGTTACTTTAGAAAAGGAATTCAGTAGATTGACTTGTAAATACCCATCTCAGATTTTAAATCTGCAAAAATCAGTCACTGCCATTGGGACAGGTTGAGATAAGGCTAGTATTTTTTTCCAAGTTAATATATTGAGAAAATAGAACCATAATTCTGCAATAAATCAGTATCTTTTATTTATTCATTTATTTATTTATTTTAAAAGCAAACCAGTGAATGAAAGGACAAAAACCTTTGGTTCACTTATATATTTATGAATGGAAAAAATTTATAATGCAAATTCACTCATTAAAAAACTTAGGTACAAATTACATTAGAGATAACCCTTTGTTTTGTTTCACATGGAGACCTTAGAGACTCAATTCATTTCAAGAGACCTAAGTACAAGTACTCCAAGTAAATATTACACAAATTGGAAGCATCTTGGATTTTTTACGTGTATTTCAATACATAAATTTGTATGCATGCTTTAAACAAATAGTATATT